AGGATGAGACTGGCACCTCCCTGAGGAATTCACACTGTTATGGCTGGCTGACTTTGGGGAATGGGGTTTCAGTCTGGGAAGATTCTTGCTAGAGGGTGTAGGTAATAAACATTGCTGGACTGAATTTACATGGTCTCTTGGAGTTCCTTGGGCTAGGCCTGACATCAATCTTTCCCTCGTGCCTCAGGAGATGAAAGAAAACGTTTTCCTCCCTGAGTCTGGCCTTCATAATTCCATTCCATCACACAAACACATCTTTTCCGGGAGCTCATTCCATAGCCTCCCCTCCATGGAGATGTCCTCTTGCTAGGTCAGTGTTTCTCAACCTTGGCCACTTGAAGATGTGTGGACTTCAACTCCCAGAATTCTGAGAGTTGAAGTCCACGTATCTTCAAGTGGCCAAGACTGAGAAACACTGACCTAGGTAGTTGATATTCAAGCCTCTCTCAGAGGTGTAGAGAGTAAGGAAGATGACCTTGCAGAGATAGACCAGATCCGTGACCAAAGTGACAAGGGAGAAAACATGGCTTAAGTCCAAAACAAGAAGGGTTGTGCAAGCGACTCAGGCTAATTCACATGAGTATTGAGGGTGGGGGTGGGGGGAGAAAGCACAGTCAGATTTGCAAGATTCTGTTACTATATCAAATGTTAATGTCATTTGAGCCTCCTTGTGGAATGGGTTTCTTGGTTTGGTCTACGTGGCGGAACTGATGGGGCCATCTTCAGAAGAGCTTCTCTTGCTGGTGTTAGTAACTGGGCAAGGTCCTCATGAGGAAGGCCGTCCTGTAGATCAGGGTTCCTCAACCTTGGCAACTTTAAGACGGGTGGACTTCATCTCCCAGAATTCCCCAGCCAGCATTAGCCTGAGTCGCTTGCACAACCCTTCTTCTTGTTTTCGACTTAAGCCATGTTTTCTCCCTTGTCACTTTGGTCATGGATCTGGTCTATCTCTGCAAGGTCATCTTCCTTACTCTCTACACCTCTGAATATCAACTACCTAGGTCAGTGTTTCTGGGAGTTGAAGTCTTAAAGTTGCCAAGGTTGAGGAACCCTGCTGTAGATAATGAGGTCCCCAGTGGCTGAAGAACTGAAAGGTCAACTGGGGCACCATAAGCTGTGCTGGAGGGCAATTTGCAGCCAGGCCAGATATTTCAGGGCAGGCACCCCTTGATCCTTCTATGTTGCCCCAGTGTACAGTCCAGGCCCTGCCTTTCTCACCAGTTACAGCTGAAGCTCTGAGTAAAGCATGTTGCAGTAGTCAAGGTGGCCTGTGGCCAAGGTGTCGACAATGGTCCCTAAGTGCAATGAGCTAAGGAAGGGTGGCAGTTGGTGCTCTAGCTGTAACCAGGCTCCTGTGCTGCTCTCCGTAGCCGTCCCCTGCAAATTCTGTAATAGCTGGGGGTCAAGGAGCACTCCCAAACCTTGAAGCTGTTATTTTCTTGGGTGTGCAATCTTCAGTGGAGGGCTGGGACTACAGGATTAAGCCAAGGGCTTCTTGGGGAAAAGGAATCAACTTTTGAGTCCAGATGGGAATACAAAATGGTAACTTCTCTGTGGTCCGACTGGAAGTTCTTAGCAAAATGGCCAACAAGGAAATACATCTTGACATTGACACATCCTGCCAGGTGAAAGCTCAGCAACGCTACATGTTCAGTGCCCACCCCCTCTCTGGCTCAGCGTTGAACTGCTCTGACCATGGAGAAGTTTCTCCTAGCTTTCAGTGGGAATTGGCCTTCCTCTGACTTCAACCCGTGCTTCCACGTCCCTCAGTCTTGAATGAAAGAGATCAGGTCCTATCGACCCAACGTGAGCATGGAACGGAAGAAACCTGCACACGTTGGATTGATAAAGCTGGATTGGTAAAGAGAAAATCTAGGTAGGGGTTAAGAGAAGGAACATCTCCTTAGAATAAGTGAGGAGTTCTGGAGCATGGCTGCATTTCTTCTCTCAAAAAAGGGCAGACGAGGACTCTAAAAGAGGTACTGTATATGGAGACCTGATATTGGGAATACCTTGAAGAAAATAAATATTTTTTGAGAGCTGTTTTTTTCTCTATTTTCCCCCCCATTTTCTCTCTCTTTTTTTCATTTTCATTTTTTTTCCCCTGGCTTGTATCTGCCTTAAAGTTCAAGGTGAGATTAGATAGACAGTTTTGCCAGGAATCTCCTCCTCTTGGTGGATGGCCAAAAGGTTTGGACGTGCAGTAGCAGGAAGTAATCTGTGCACCTCACCTGGAGTCGTATTTTTTAATCTATTTTTAATCCTTTATAAAGCCTTCTTGCATGGGTTCGGCAATATATGATACAGTTCTGTGAAGTCACTGGCTTGCAGGAGGCTGTTGCAAAACACAGCCGCCTGCTGTTTCCCGCGTCTAGCTTTTTATCGCAGTCTAGACTGCAGATCCTCATCATCTGATCCATTTTGACATCTGATTCATGACAAGGGCTGTCCAGAAAAAAGTCAGCATAAGATTTGTGTTGCAACTCTCACAATCTTGCAACCGAGAAGGAGAGAAGGCAGCGTGGACTTGATGGCTGTCTTAGTGAATTACTGCTTGGATCCCTTAAACCAACGGTGAATTCCTGCCAGCTGAAATTGCTCCAAACGCGACGGGGTTTCGTGTTTCTTGTTCAGCTGCCATGCTTTTTAAAACCTCCAACGGTTTCTAATTCCTCTCTTGCCTTTTGCGTATCAACCCACCTCTTGCCCGTTGTTTAGAGCACCGTTTTGCGGGCCGGAGGTTGTCAAAGGTTCTCCAAAAACGACAGCCAAATCCGGAAGCGATCCGGCATGTTTGTAAATCTGACCTGTTCAGGTAAATAGCATTAGAGAATTCCAGGGGGTAATTTCCAGTTTAGTTTGTACCCGCTGCACGCCCGGTCAGTCCCTGAGTCCAGATCAGATCAGGGGAAGCCAGCACGTCGCTCAGTTCAGCCAGCAAAACTATCGCTGGATGTCAGTTGATTAAACATTGGCCAACATCAAGAGATTAACTGACAAAAACAGGATAAAAATAGCAGGAAAAACAGAGGAAGAGATGAACAACAGGCCAGAGATAAAAGGCAGAGGACTTAATAATAACCATCTACATTATCGATATATTACAGAATTTTCCGGAGCCACTGGAAATGATTAACTTCCATGGACATTCCCAAAGGTTTGGTTATTCCAGCTTTATCCCTTTTATGTATGTAACAGCAGCAGCGTAGAGAGGGAAAGTAGGACACCAGGTGATTCCCTCACCCTTTTGCACCATGAAAGAACCTGTTTGGTGGAAGGCATGAGGTGTCCCACGTATAGTGGGAGACATGGCTCTCATTTCTCTACCCAAAATATTAGTACTTCGGGAGATGAACACTTGCATAGCACCCCCTTGTCTGCTCACCCCGTAAGGAACCCCCAAGGAGGAGATTTATGGGGGGAGGTAAAAAAGTCAAGATGGCAGCCATGCCTGTGTGGTTGAGCCCCCCTCCCCCCGCCTCCTTTCACACATGTCACTTCCAAGCATCGAAAAGCTGAAAGTGCACAGCTGCCTCAAAATCAAAGAGTCTTGTAGGACGTCTTTGGACTAACGTGCTTTATTCAAAGGCAGAAGCTTTTGCGAGCTGCAACTGCCTTCGTGAGATGCACTGAGTGAGTAAACCGAGGTAGGGTTTAAATTGGCTTGTGGGAGGGGGAAATGGAGGAAGAAGGGAGGGCTGGTTATGCAGATGACCACTGTCTAATCAATGAACAATTGCAATACGATCATAAACCATGATGTTTGTTGGGACCTTCTGAGATGGCCTGAGACCTTTTGAGGTTTGGTCATCTTCTTGTCAGTGGTGCCGTTACAGTCTGGTGTGTTCCAAAATGGCCATTTTGAGGTCCTGGCCGTGTCCTGGGGAGTTGAAATGCTCTGATATTGCTTCGTCCTTGTTCCGATTCCTGATGGCGAACTTGCGTCCAGTTCTTCTGCACCAAGTTTGTCCTGTTTACCCCATGTGGAATTCAGAGAGGCATTGCACGATCTGTGATCTACGATGGTGGTATAAATGTCGGAGGAGGAACATGCGAAGGCGCCTCTAATCTTGTTTGTGCAGTTTTGGGGGCCTGTGCTGGTGCCAGGGTAGATGTGGGGGCAAAGTAGACATCTGGGCTTGTTGCAGAGCCTGGATCCCGTGGTCGCATCATTGTCTGGTTGTTTTTGGTTGCTCGTGAGAATCTGTTCCAGGTCTGTGTGCAGCAGCTGCCTGGCACTCCAGGAGCCAACCAGGTTCCCCACAACCAGTCAGTGGGAGAACGCCAAAGACATACCCTCACCTTTGCTCTTCCCCTCACCCCATTAGCTTTTTCCACTGCTGCCAATTAATGGCAGGATGTACAGTAGGTGATGTTGGGGGCCCTTGAAAAGCTGAGCAAGATCTGACCTAGTTGGATGAGGGACACCAGGAAATCCCAGGTTGGACTAGTCAGAAAACCTCCTGTTGTGTTGCCAAGAAAAGTACACAGATGTGTCCGAGAAGTCACAGCTGGAGGGTTCACCCCTGAGAAGGTTTACCTTTGTAACCACAATGCTACTTATGGACCTGAGCCACCAAAAAGGTGCCCGTTTTGGGCTTGACAAGATGGACCAACCATCTTTCCTCAAACAACATCTTGCTTTTTCTTCACCAGGAGAGATGCGTTGGACTAACGGAAGGATGTTCTCTGGGCTTTGCGTGGGCACGAAGGTGTTGGTTGGCAATTTCCAAAGACCAATTAGAGGGCTTGGTGTATTAGTTCTAGTGTCGCGGTGACCTTTAGTGCATGAAATATTAAATATGTTCACAATTTTGCTGCTCATTAATTTGCCTCGATTTGGACATTGTCCACCAAAATACGAAGCCTGGAGAGATGGGTTTGCTAAAGTAGGCACAACTTACTGTTTCGGTCCAGCTGTTTTTAGCAATACAGTGATGTGCTGAATTGCCGTTTGTTTAGTTTTTCACTCTATTGTTTGCGCTCCTAATATATGGTATATCAGCTTTATATTTAATTTACCTATTCTTTTTAATACTTGGTTCTTTCATGTCCATTTCTATATTTTCGTTTTACTTAAGCTTTTGCATCTGTCTTTAAAAAATTATAAAAAATAATTGGTTTGTTAGGGTTTCACAAGAATTTCTGTTGTATTGGGGGTGTCCGTATGTGTGTGAAAAGTCATATGGGAGTTGTGGCTGCACGATGGAATCTCTGCTCCTTTTTACACATGTTGTAATGTGGCTGCCCCATACATCAGGTTGTTATCTTTGCATCCTTTGGTCTAATTCAGTGTTCCCCAACTTCTGCAATTTTAAGATATGTAGACTTCAACTCCCAGAATTCCCCAACCAGCTGGGGAATTCTGGGAGTTGAAGTTCACGCATCTTAAAATTGCTCAAGTTGGGAAACACTGTCTAACTGGAATCCAAACGTATCACTGGGCAATATTACTTTCTTGGCCACTGTAAGTACTGGTTTACATATTTCCCCCCACTTTTTTGAAACTGAAAAGAATCCCAGAGGGCCTCACCAGCCATCTCTTCCCAAGTTTAGTGGACAGGACATTCTGGCTAGGTGACACCAACCCTTGGTTTGTCTAACTATGAAGTATTAAATCAATCACCATGTGTTGGGTGCACCCAGTTTGCTAATCCCTAATTAAGTAAAGGTTAAGGGTTTGAACCCTCTGAATGTCAGCTGTGAAAGAGAGAAGGATGGAACTTCAATATGATACTCAAGATTGTCCTTAGGATGTAGTTATTATATCTGCCTGTGATTAGGGAATCTCTCATTTGGAATAGAATTTGACCACTTTTCCTGTCCAGAGCTGATCAGATTGCAGGTGGACTTCCATCAGAATTCTGGCTTGGCTGAAGAAATTAGAAAGGAGCAAGGAACACATTTCAGACATGCTTGTTGTCTGGATCCGTTTTTGTTACAGACATGACAGAGATTTATGGCTGTACAAGACACTACGTGTTAGTCAAGAGGAAGGTCTCTACTTTTCGCATTGCCTTCTGGGGACAAAACATTTTGACAGCATAGAGACCGTGTAATACAGATGGACAAAATGTTGCCTTTCCTTGGCTGGTGGGCCCATCTAATCTCTTCCTTGCCTTTTACACAAAGAAACACCCGCCCACAAATACAGATGGACACTAGCAGGGGTGTCTGCAGGGTGTGGTCAACCAAGTCAAGTTGGTGGCTGCGGTGGTGCAATTGAAGGGGAGAATTGTGAGATAAAATGAGAAATTGGGATTACGAAGTGGGGGTATAGGTAAAATCCTGCGCAGGAAGGTTGTGCAAGATGATCTGGGGGGTCCCTGCCATCCTATGAAAGTGACTTGCCTTGAAACCAAACTTTGTCAAAGCTGCTTTCTAAGACTGTAAACCACATTTTTTTCGTTCTGCAGAAGCATCGGTGGAGACCTGCTGCTCCCGTGGCTATGAGTGGGCGAGTCAAAAGAAAGACTGTAGGTCTCTCCCTTCAGATCTGGATTCCAAGGAATGCAGGTAGATTACAAAGCGTTTAGCTTGTGTGTTGTTGCATCAGTCCAATATGGGAACCCTGCCTCTTCAAGCTGGCTTCGCTTCCTGGGAGTTGGCCCATCCATGTGATTTTTGCACATCTATTTGATTTTCTTGGCAGCAATGTGGAAATAGCTTGCCATTGTTTTCATATGTTTCATTTTTACTTTCCAGACGAGTCTGAGTCCTAGGATATCCTGATAGTCTCCCATCCAAGTATGAATCAGGTCCAATCCAGTTTATCTTCCAAGCTCAGACAAGATTGCCCACGTCCTGCCACCTGCTGAGACGTTCCTCGTGTCTATTCTCCAAATCCCCTCGGGCAGCCCTCTTTCAGTCACGAATTCAGCCTCTTTGCCCAATCCAACATTAGTTCCTGTAGGAGAGTCAGCCTCTTTTGGGGAAAATGTTGTTGCCTTGATTGTTCTCTCCTGTTTTCAAAGGTGAAACTGTTGATGTTTTGGCCTTTATTTAGGAAGCAAGTATGTTGTGCAATTATAACAACCACTATTTTTGGACACTTGAATTTGTCTTGGCATTAAAATATGCCTCCTACCCTGAAGTGATGAGCAGATAAAATTTATTTGACTTAGAAGCCGTAGTAGTAGTAGTAGTAGTAGTAGTAGTAGTATAAATAGTAAGATCAACTTGAATGTAGCTTGCATTGATTACAAGAAGGCATTCGACTCCTTGCCACATGATTGGATAATCAAGTGCCTAGAAATAACAGGAGTCAATAGAAACATCAGAAGCTTTGTGTAGAGATCAATGGCACAACGGAAGACACAGTTGCTGGCCAACGGCGATAGACTGGGAGAGGTTAACATCAAGAGAGGAATCTTTCAGGGACACTCACTGTCACCACTACTGTTTGTCGTTGCATTGATTCCTCTGTCAACAA